ACCCCATTATAACGAAAGGTTTGCATGATAACACAGTTGTGAAAAAGTAGCATTGCAACTACACAGCCTTCCTATCTCTACATGCCAGCTAGACAGGGCAATAAAAAAACAAAACAAAAAACAATGTGAACAAACTTTTCATTTGTGACTGACCACCAATGACTGCAACACAACTACAGGTGGGGCAAAAGTTGTCTGGGCTTACCCAAAGAAGGCAGTTCTGCTTTGTGGTTGGTGGGGAGGGAGGGGGAGAAGGAAGGTCAGAAACTGCTGTAAAAGGTGCTTTGCAGCAGTGACACACACACACACACCCTTCCCCCAGGAATGTGCATAAAGATATGAAACCTGGGTGGGGCAAGTCTCTATGTCCAAGCAGCAAGGAAGCCAACACCCGCCCTCCCTCCCCTAGTGGAGGCGAATGGCAGGCTGGGTTAGGACCTGCTGTGGGCATTACTCTAGTCGCCACTTTTAAAGGCGGGCTGGGAAGGAATTTTTCCCACACCACCAGAATTGGCTTCAGTGGAGTGTGATTTTTTTTGCCTTCCTCTCAGCACATGTGAGGGTGGACCTTTTCTGGTCAATAGAAAAGGTGGTAGGCCATATGTAGCAACTTATTTTGTAATACTGGGTGGATGTTCAGTGCAGGTACTCCAAAGGGAGGGCAGTCAGTGACCAGATAAATGGCTTGATAAAGGACTTAAAAGGAGGTCCTGGATAAAGGAACAGAATGGGGGAGGAGGTTCGGGGACTCCTATGACTGGCAAGGCAGGGAGCCAACCCCCTCCGTTCTCATAGCCCTCCTAAACCCTCTCATGAGGCTGGTGGATGATAAGGTCCAAGCCATGGGTCGGCTGGGGAACCTGGACGGAAACAAAGGGGGGTTGGTGAAAGCCCCGGAGAAATGATTTAAATAAGCATGGATTTGCCTGCACTGTACACTTTATCTGCCAGATAGTCCCAGAGATCTATATAATAAAGTTGCAGCCTGATTAAAACCCATAACAAGTCTCCTGTCCTTCTTGCAGTATACCCAGATAATGAAGAATAACAGAGTGACAGCTTGTCTCTCAAAAGCTTGTCTCTCTCACCAACAGAAGTTGGTCCAATAAAAGATATTACCTCACCCACCTTGTCTCTCTAGTATGCTGGGACCAACACGGCTACAACAAAACTGCAACAACAGAGTTGCATTTAAATCTTATTTCCCATATTATACAAGTGGTTTTAATATAAAAAGGAGAGAGAGATGATTAATAAAACACAGCAAATAAGAATCATAAACGCTATTTTATGTAAATATTTGAATGACTTAATCAGTGGCATTTCTCCAGAATATATACTCTGATACAAAGAAATTTAAGATTTTTGTATCGACTTCCTCATTCATTCAAGGCTTCATCCAAAGCTCCCTGAAGTCAATGGGAGTCTTTGTCTGGGTATACAGCCCTGTGGTTTGCAGCAGTTTCTGGCGTTCTTCCTCTCTCCCCCCCACCCCCAACCACAAAGCAGAGCTGTCCTTCTTTGGGTAAGCCCACATAAATTCTGCCCCACCTTTAGTCGTGGTGCAGTCATTCCCATTAACTTCACTGTATGTTGAATCAGGCCACCACTCTTCAGTCCCACTGCAAATGTTCTGCGTTAATGAAAGTTACCAAATAGTTTATAAATTATGGTCCTCAAATAAATAATTTTTCCCCAAAGAAAATTTTAAACACATTTACTCTTAGTTTAAAATTTCTAATGAAATGAAAGAATTTTTAAAAAGTACTGTAACATTCATTCCAATATCACAATGATCACATGTTTAAGGGGACTTGCAGAGTGAGGTTTGTGCTATTCCTATTTACCCAGCTCGATTATTTCATTTTTAGTGATATATCACCTTCCCTCTACCCAATATTTTAAGCTATTGTTATTACTTAGATACATTTCTTCAAGTAGTCCAGAAAAACAAAAGGATTGAGCAGAAGTTGCAAAGAAGAAGAAAAAAGGAAGAAAGGTCTTAGCAAGTATAGAAAATGTCACCAATCAATTCCACATTCACCCACTGTTTCCCTTGTGACCCAAACGGCAAAATAAATAATGAAACAACAAAATAAATAAATCAATAAATTGCTTTCCATTCTAGCAAAACTTCTTAGGGAGCTTCAGGACTCAACCAATCATCACTTACACCAATTTAAAGAACCAGGACACGGACTAGCTAGGATATCAATATTGCTTTGGGTTTGAACAAACAGATGCTTTGAAAAGTTTTAGCCTATTTGAAGGAATTACAAAACCATAACTGCAGAAGTAGGCAATGAACCATGTTTTACTTTCTTGTAAGGTGTGGTGATGAGCATGGGATAAAATACCTAGATAGGTTCATTACATGAGCAGGAGGCACATCTCCTGCTCCAGCCTATGTAGGGTTAAAACTCATGCTCAGTTCTTTGGGTTTGGCTTCAACAACAAATTAACACAAAACACCAAACTGAACTTGGGGATTACAGTGGACGAGAAGCTGGATATGAGTCAACAGTGTGCCCTTGTTGCCAAGAAGTCTAACAGCATATTGGGTTGCATTAGTAGGAGCATTGCCAGCAGATCGAGGGAAGTGATTATTCCCCTCTATTCAGCACTGGCGAGGCCACATCTGGAGTATTGCATCCAGTTTTGGGCCCCCCGCTACAGAAAGGATATGGACAAATTGGAGAGAGTCCAGCGGAGGGCAACGAAAATGATTTGAGGGCTGGGGCACATGACTTATGAGAAGAGGCTGAGAGAACTGGGCTTATTTAGTGTACAGAAGAGAAAAGTGAGGGGAGATTTGATAGCAGCCTTCAACTACCTGAAGAGGGGTTCCAAAGAGGATGGAGCTAGGCTGTGCTCAGTGGTGGCAAATGACAGAACAAGGAGCAAATGTTTCAAGTTGCAGTGGGGGAGGTCTAGGTTGGATATTAAAAAAAACTATTTCACTAGGAGGATGGTGAAGCACTGGAATGGGTTACTTAGGGAGATGGTGGAATATCCATCCTTAGAGGTTTTTAAGACCTGGCTTGACAAAGCCCTGGCTGGGATGATTTAGTTGGGGTTCGTCCTGCTTTGAGCAGGGGGTTGGACTAGATGACCTCCTGAGGTCTCTTCCAACCCTAATCTTCTATGATTCTATGAAGCAAAGTCCTTTCACTACACCATGTCTAACAAGAACCAAACTATCACCAAAGTTTAATTCTAACTTTAATTCAAGACAAATTCTGCTAATAAGAATGCTGTTATAACCTTTTCTGTCAAGATGCCAATATATTTTACAAAATAAATCTAGTCATTTATAAACAACCCAGCCCAAATCTCCATGCTAATTATTGTGATTTTAGTACCATATTTTCCTAATTTAAAAAAGCCTCTTTCTTCTGGGCAGTGAGAGAGTCACACAAACAAAAGAAAATGACTCACTGTCTCTACAGAGGAAACAGTGAAACTGGTTACACAGAAAATGCTCTCAAATATACAAAGTAAATAGATTGAAGAGAGAAATATTTCTTTGCTCTCCTTCTGTTACAGTAGTTCTACATATAACTTCCAACAATAGTAGATTTAAAGAAAATTCAGTCAGAAATGTGATATTGAGTTGATTGCCCCCACAAGTATAAAGCCAGAATGTCAGATCTAATACAGCAACAGAGGGTCCTGTGGCACCTTTGAGACTAACAGAAGTACTGGGAGCATAAGCTTTCGTGGGTAAGAACCTCACTTCTTCAGATGCAAGTCACTTGC